CGAGGAGAAGAGAGATGGGCAGAAGAAAGGAGAGGCAAAACTACTCGGCAAACTTGAGAAACGAGAATCACACCGGTCTGCCGAACTTCTCGTAGTTTGTTTGGGCGATATTTTGCGTTATTTTTTGTGCATTCTGCCATTAATCGCATGGAAGCATCTCAGAGCAATAGAAAATTCACGTTTCTCTAAGCGCGCTAGATATTGCGCTATGTATGTGCTAGCAAGAATAGAATCAGATATATTCGTGATATTGCGAGAAAATATTGCTACAGAAATAATTATACCGATGCAACTAATGAGTAATGTAGAAAGAGAGTAAGTTTCTTAAAATTATAATTAACCGCTGTAAATAAGAAAAAAATATATAAATATAAATTGTGCAATATCTAACTATCTTAGCGGTTTTTAATTATTGTTGAGAAATTAATTGTATTTTTCGATAAGGAGCGTATAATGTTCAAATAGGAAGCAAGCTAACTAAATATGTTAAAATAATAGCTCTGTGTAAATCAAATGTTTTTATCATAAAAAACAGATGATGAAAATTGCAGTGCAATTAAAACTATGGCTCCTAAATAATTGTTACAAACTTTTTAATTTGGATTTGCCTAAGAAATCACTTGTCGCTGTTTACACGCTGTTTTATATATCTGTAATGCATTTGTATAAGTATCATATATATCTCCTGTTTGTAGCTGCAATTAATATCTAACGCAGAAATTGTTTGAATATTCTTTTTTCTTATGAGAACTTTAATTCTATATAAAATTTATATAAATTTTTCGGGAATAATTATATTATAATTTATTATATATAAAAATCATGAATTTACCTAACATGTTTCATATAAGATTGAATCTTTTTCTTCTTCGATGGCACTACAGCTCGAGTCAAGCTATAGCCCGAAGTTTAGCACCTCAAGAATCATGACCGGTCGCTGTGACTAATTCGAAGCTGTTTTAGTTTCTTAACAATAATTTTCAACGGGTTTAACAGATTGTTAACCTAGCGCCCAACCCCTAACTTGGAGGACCAGACTGCGTATTTTTTGTTTTTTTAATAACATTTTATTATCAGCATAAACGATTTGTGACACATTACATTTATGAAGACGTATATCTCTTCTTACAATAGTAATTAACGCAGAATTTTATTCCTCTGATTGCGTGAGATTTTATATCGTAAAGTTTACATGGTTGCGATGCGCGTAAAAAAAATTAATGACATTAAGTGTGTAGAAATGCAGTTTGACAAGCAAATATACGAGACATTTTGCGAACTGAATTCGCTATGCACAATCTTACTCAACAGGCCTACTCACGAGGTTTTATAGTTATGTACTTCGAAAGAATAAACGCCACCAGAAAAGTACCCGCCACAAAGCAAATGACAAAAACATACCAGGTTTCTTCGTCAAACACATCGGTGAAGGCTGGAAATTGACTGTAGATCGTGTCGATAAGTCTTAAATTGTAATTTTTATTATTCGCCTTTTGAACCGCCTTGTTTATGTCATTTTCCTTCCCGTACATCTTAAATTAATATAACTAGTGTTTTTTTCCTTTTCTTTTTTACGATCGGCTTATTGCAATCAACTATTTTGATTAAATTATTTAATACAATTCGAGCATCTTTCATACGATTCAAAATACGCGTTTTTCGTTGAGTAGATTAAAAAAAAAAAAACTCACACCGTGTAAACACAATTTGATTTATTACCAATCATAAGCGGTCCAATAAGTTGCCAATTAAATTAGAGTATCACTCCTCTACGCTTGCTGTATAATTTTCTTTTATGGTGCGGTCGCTTTTTCTTCTTTCTCTTCTCTTCCTCGAGCGCTTTTTTAGCCTCGACCACAGCCGGATCGGGCGGAATCAGACTAGTGATGTGCTTGTTGTAAAGCTCCAAAACGTTCAGGCTTGTCAAAAGGGCCGTTTTTAACACTACTTTTTCACCTGACTCTGGAAAATAAACAGGTCCGAGGATGACCTACTTGCTTGCATCTGCGCGTGATCATGGTCACAGAAAAGAAAAGGTATAAAAGAAAAAAAAAACTCTAGACGAACAATCCAGACGAGTGTAAACACGATATTAACTTCATCGATTCGCGGAATAGAGTTCTAATTAGCGCGGGCGATTTCCTAAAGATTTGTCGAACGAGATTTGTCGCAAGAACGCTCAATTTAATCACCCTACGCATCTTTCGCTTTGTAAAATATTCTTTTTTTATACAAAAAAAAATAATAAAGCTCTCCAAAGGCCTGTTGCATAATGATTTACAAATTAATAATATTATTGAAATAACATGTAAAAGAACTTGTATTATTAACTTGCAAATCATTATGCAACAGGCCCCAGATTACAATCAAATTGATAAAGTACATATAAAGGCGAGTAAGAGCCACTTTTTTATACTCTTTTTTTTTTGTTTATACCTTTCCGCATTGTACGAACGCTCACGTGAATGAATTGGACGATAAACGATTACGCACTGAAACGTGAACGGCGACGTGAACAATTCCATACTTTTGCTATTATACTCACGAAGACTGAACGTGATGACCGGCTCGGAACGATCGCACACGACCTCCGTTTTCAGGGAGCACTGCGGATTCGTCGCACGGATTCTCGGAGCGCTAATGTAAAATAGAAAGTCTCTGCAAGTAAAAAGCGTTATGCATGCGTTATTCTCTCATGTGTGTGTGTGTCAACTTGTGTATAACAAAGTCTCGCACAGTCTGTACAGTCTCTATATATATTAAGGTCGTAGAAATTAAATTTTTCACCGCTTAAATCTACGTTTTGTTCTTTTTTTTGCCTCTTCCCTCTTCTTCTTTATTTTTTCTTTTTGCAGTTTTGCCTCGCGACAGCTTCGCAATAGAAAACGTGAATTTTTGCCAATGCTAACTTCCCCCGTTGTGTCTCTCAACACGTCTGTCGTTTTCCTTTTACAGGCAAAATGGCACAAATGGAGCAGCAATTACCGCTTCCAATGCCAGATTTAAGTACCCTTCGTATAACCACAGCCGTCTCCATGCTCGGCAAAGCGTATGGATGTGGCCAATGTAATGGTGAGTTACGTATGTTTTAAGTAATTAAGAGACACGTTGTAAAGAAGCGGAAGGAAAGTCACGATTGTCTGCGCATATATCCGCCTTTCAATACTTTCCCGATTGTGCTCGAGTTTATGAGGGAAATAACCGTAGACCGATTACTTTCCTTCGATTTTTTCATCACAAAAATCTGTGTGTGTGTGTATGCCCAAGCCGATTGAAAGTCCGTTTACAGTCAAAATTTGATGTCTCTTATACATACTTCTTGATAACGCTATTTACGGATTGTACTTCTGTGTATATCGTCAACGCGTTTATCAAGTCGCGATAGATTATGGAGAATTCTATAAATAAAAAGGATAGGCAGAAAATACATACGCGTGCGCGCGCACAAGTTAGTTTAGATAACGCAAGTCGAAATGAGATATCAAGGATCTACCTTGGACGATCTGCAATTCTGCAATTCGCGTTAGAATTTAAAGAGAATTTTATTTAATAAATGATTAAAAATTATTGATTATTATTTATAATATTAATAAAATTAAATAATAATTCTATGCGCGCGCGCGCGCGCCCGAAAAGTGAATCGAAACACAAACACACACGTGCGCGCGCGCGCAGACACACAAAATAAATAAAAATACAGACGTGATCAATCAAAACGGGGCGTACCGAATCGCGAATGGTGATTCTACCTCGCGAGACAATCTGAATTACAGATCGTCTGAGGAGCGGGCTTCATCTCGTGATCCAATAT